GGAGCTCCATATGACGCCAAGAAGCGCTGTGCTGGGTGGGGAAGACGCATGCGAACACCGCCACTGGGGCCTTAGGTGGGTTCCCTATGGGGCCACGAAACGCCGTACTCGGTGGGGGAGACGCATACGAACACCGCCACTGGGGCCTCAGGTGGAGCTACCTCTGGGGCCAGCGAAACGCTGTGCTCGGTGGGGGGGGCGCATGCGAACAATGGGGAGGAGGGGGACGAGGAAGGAAGGAAGGAACGCGGGGACCGTCTCTTCAAAACGAGGACCCAACACCACATGAGGGTTGGGAACTACCGACTTTCAAGGACCGACGGCCATTGCAGCACGCCGCCCCTCCGTGGACCTGTCTGCGCCCAGATCTGCCAGGGTCCGGCCATCATCCGGTTATCGGGGCCGCCCGCCCCCCTCCCCCCCTCTGGAGCACCTGACCTCGCCGCCTGCGCACACCCGAGACGGGTACGCGGTGCTGGTGCGCGCGGGCATGCGCGGGGCTGCCCCAGACGAGCAGGTTAGGGTATCGGCCGGCACCTCCCCCCCCCTTCCCCCCCTCACCCGATAGCCAGGGCGACCGAGGAGCGAGGAGACGCGACACCACCACCACCAGGGGCCGCCAGCGTGATGAGCCAGGGGCGGGGGGCAATCTCCTGATGGTGTAGTCCCCCTCTCGCTCGAGACACTGCCCATCCCCAGCAAGGGGAGGCGTCGTGGACCTGCTCGCCGGAGGTGGCACCTCCCAGTGGTGGCGGCGTCGCTTCTCCCTCCTCCGAGCGATCGCCGACAATCCAAATACGATCTCCCAGCAGGGGGGGCCCCGGGGAGCCCAGAACCCCATGCACAGCCCAGGTAGCCTCCTGTGTCCTGGCGCTCTGCCTGCGTGCGGGCCCGCCGTGAAGAAGAGACGACGGCCGCCCCCTCCCCACACACCTCGGAGCGAAGACGGGCTGCTGCCCGTCCTCTGGCTGCTGCCCCTCCCCCCTCTCCCTCCCCCATCCTGCTCCTCGCCCCCCTCCCTCGAATCCCTATGACCAACATGACCCTCCTCCTCCTCCTCCTCCTCCTGCTCCTCCTCCTCCTCCTCATCCTCCTCCTCCTCCTTCTCCTCCCACTCTCCCCCCCCTGCTCCCTGAGCCCGGGCGCACCCGAGTGGGCCCCCACCCCCGTCGCACAGGTGGACCTCCCCGGCTTTGGGGTTATGGCCAGACGACTCGCCGCCACCACGGACCACAGCCCGGGCCAGTGCCTCGTCGGGACTGCTCCACGGCGCTCCAGCCGAGGCGGCGGCACCCGCTTTCGGGCACGCCCCTCTCCCCCTCCTGCGTCTCGCCAGCCCCCGTCTTGAATTCCAGTAATCCGCCTGGCGCAGCGGAACCAGTCTTTACCGCTGCTCGAACCACCACCTGGACTCGGAGATCAGCAGCATGAAAAGAAAGAGCAACGCGACGACAAGGTACAAGGTAGCCAACAACCATGGCCGTCTTCCTCCTCCTTCTCCTGACCATTATCATCCTCGAACCCCATCTCGTCCTCCTCGTCCGTGACAAATTGGCTCGGCTCGGGGCAGTCGTGGCCATTTCGGCTTCTGGCCGCCACCTGGGCCGTCCATCCGTGCCGCAGCATGGCGTTTGGAAGGCTTTGGTCGGGTTGGCTCACATCTGTGGTTGCCTCGCTCGTGCAGCGACAAAAGCACCAGGGAACCCTCAAGGAGCAACCACCATATAGCTCGTGCCTTCCGAGGGAGAGAGCCCTGTGTCTCCAGAAGCTCAAAATCCTGTCCGGTTTCGTGCCGCCGCGACTGCTGGACAGTCTTAGCCATCCTCGGTGTTCGTGCGATGCGATGCTGGCCTTTTGTGCTCCTAGACGCCATTCGGGCAGAGAAAGGCGTCCATCCCTGGCCGCATATCGCATGGGTCCCTTCGGGTTGTCCCATTGTAAGATCCCCACTTGCGGCCGGGATGTCCACCAATTGTGGATACGGGGGTGAACTTGGCACACGTAGCATTGTGGCCATGCTCATGGGCGGGAATGTGGTTATTGTGCTCGATGCTGACTCGGAAGGTGATGCTCTGGCACTCGTCGAGCTGTCCATCAACCTCCCAAACCATGGCTCCTCCAAAACCAGGGTCGCGCAATACTCTTTCTTGCGCCCGCTTGCCCTGAACCCTATCCCTATAGAACATGCAGCGACGTCTTACATGATTTAATTCGTGACGGGATGGCCGAGGAGCTTACTCTTATGGAAGATAAGGATGAGGGCACAAATCCTTGAAGCTTCGTGCAATCAATACTTTGTCGCAATCGTCCTGCAGATCGGCTGGTGTCTCTGCACACTTAGAGCGTGACTTTATCATATCAACTCGTCTCGATCCGTCTTGTTCCTCCACTTACGGTCAGGAACTGTTGCTTAGCGTGTCGCGGCGGCGGCCACGGCAACACGCCATGCCGTGCGAGGTGATAGCGTGTCGCTCCGCTCCGCGGCGAGGGAGGCTGGGAAAAGGACCGGGACGGGGTCAGCGTGTCGCGCCGAAGCGTGGTGGGCCAGAACTGGCGGAGCGACACGCTAACCAAAAGTCCCCGACAGGAGTCTCATCCTTCTATTTCCAAGCCTCTCCCCGTTCCAGGCGTCCCGAGTCCTGCTTGGTACCGCTGAAGCCAACAGACTTCACCATCTTCCGGACCGATGAGGAGTGGGCGCGGATCATGTCGAGGTTCGAGACCTCTAGGGGTAGGAGGACGAGGAGGAGGATGAGCGAATGATTTCTTGAGCTGCACCGCCGTTCGAAAACTTAGGCGGTGTGCTAAGGGCTTCTCTACCGCTGTTCCATCGGCACGCCGGAGCGTGCCAGGATGTCAGCAGGATGTCTTCGTGGGATTTTATGGTGCCCGTTCTCTAGGCGAGCTATCTCTTGCACCAAGGGGGTACATGCACTATGCGCACAATATTGTTCTCTGTCGTTTTTTTGTATGCCTCTTCTGGGCGACTCCGTACTGCCCCCAGATCGCTCCAGGACGGTTGCAGGATGCTCCAAGATAGTCTCGAGACGACGCAACGACCCCCTGGAAGCCCCAGGATGTTGACAATACGCCACACGATGCCACACCATACTTCGCTAACGCCACAATGGCGCGATGCCTGAGCCGAGATGGCTACCAACAGCCAGGGTCCACCCAGTGCAAGAGGAGGGCCGGTAACTGCACCCAACCTGCGCCACTATGGTTTCTGTCTTGGCGTCATGCCAGCTCTCCTGCACTCACACAAGTGATAGAGGAGGATGGCCTTCAACCCAGAACGCCTTGCCGATACTCGGACCACCAGGTCTACTTCAGCACGACGGATCAAGATGATGGATGAGGATTGCCTTCAACCCAGAGCGCCCACATGTAAATCACCATATCCGCCACGGATTACGATGCCCCCCGCCTGCGCGACTCTCCACTGCCGCATAATAGCATTATGCGTTATCAGCCCTGTCTCCACTCAACCACCCTGGATGGATGGCCATGGGGATCCAGGGTCCCGCTGGCAGGGGGAAGCAGGAGCAGGTGCAAGGTGAGGACCGATTCTGGAACCCAATCTGCGCCAAAATGGTTTCTGTCGCGGCGTCTCGCCACCCCTCCTGCAGGCACACGGGTGATGGAGGAGGACGGCCTTCAACCCAAAACACCCGGCAGAGGGAGCGGGAGAGAGAAAGAGAGAGAGAGAGAGGGAGAGAGAGAAAGAGGGACAGGGAAATCAATAATACGAAGCACTGGGGAGGATCACGGCACGGGCGGATGCTTACCGCACCCATGTGAGCTTAGGGAGTTAGGTGAGAAGTATGGACGCCACCGTCCCTGCCCACCATGAGCCTCCTGACAGGACGATTGCAAACGCACATTTCGGTTCTAGCGATTTGCGTGGAGGGAGGACAGACACGGAGTTAAAGGTGAGCGTTCCAGCAGCGCGACCTCGAGAGTGCTCATCCCCAAGGCAGTGTGATAAACCAGCGCCAGTTTTACACAACAAAGCAGACATAAGAATATGTGTGCGAAGATGGTGCCGCTTGCATTATGTGGGGCACGGTCGATGATGGGGACGACTCATCTCATGAATGGTTTGTATTCGTTCATCATGAACCGCCGACAACCCATCACACCCGATCAACTTTAATATTCGATGCTGGCACTGCCTACATGGGCACCAAATCAATGCAGAGCGCCAAACGGCGTTCCGTGAGAGTGGCATTTGTGCCCAAACTGTCAACGAAAAACTGGTATGATGACGAATTCGGAAGTCTCACACGGAACACGTGTGGAATGGTGGCGTACGACAATAAGTACGTCGGTGCCTTCACCGACCGCGCAGGAGCCTGGAGGTTGTGCACAAGCTCGGCACGTGGCCCTCACACTCGCACACACTTTCTCGTCGCAGGCTGTCCGATTTCTGTCGCTACCGTTTGAGGACGTGCAAGAGAAGATCTGGTTGCTGCACACGGCTTTTGGGATACCGTTGGAGCTGATGATGTCGCAATCCTCAGGCCTGCACTGCAAATCGCTTCCGTTGCAAGCGTAATTCCCCATCACGATCCCGCCACTGATGTATTAAAAGCTGACTCCGTGGTCCGGCAGCCTGGTAGGGAATTGGCGGTAGCGGGACAAGCACTCGGATTCCGCTAATTCGCCCTCGCGCTGGCACCTTTTTTCCTCTCGCAGAACATTTCGTCGCATAACTGTTCCGGATCGGTGCGCGATGAGAAAATTGCAACTCTTGGTTGACGCAAACTGCCACTTTGCCGTACCTGTCAGTCTCGTTACTGCAGTTGACGAACCGCTCGTCGTCTGACACGCAAGCCTATTTGTCGCCAGTGCAGGTGAAACCATACAAATTTGTTTCCGTCGGCGGCTGGGCAGAAATTGCTGCTCCGGCGATCGGGCATCAGAGGGGCGCGCTACGTGCAAATTGGGCCGCAATGCGCGGGAGGAGAGGAAGAGACTTCGGCGCAACGATATACGCCATACAAGTCACAGACGGCTTCGTAGGCATCATTGCAACCACTGAGCGACATACTTACAACAGGCGCAGAGGACGGCAGCACAGCAAACACAGTCGACTGCATCGCCACGGGCCAGAGCGGAATCCGCAGCAGGTGAAGGCAGGCAGCCTCGCCCAGAATGGCTTGAACCCAAACCGCTTCGGATCACGCATGGTCTGTATTTGCGGGCGACGGCGACGACGAGGACGCACATGTGGGAGACCCTGCGTAGAAAGAGGGAGAGAAAAAGTGAGCGAGAAGAGGATGAGGATAACGACGGCGATGGGGACGAAGAGGTGGAATATCCAGCGGGGAATGTGAAAGCAGTGAGGGAGAGAGAGAGAGAGAGAGAGAGGGAGAGTGCGGACGCGTAGGGGTGCGGTCTAATTAGGGTGCCCCTCCGCGACGCCTTCCTGCAGGGACCCAGAAGCGCGCTTGCCGAAACGTGCTGCTTCTGGGTTTCCTCGCACCGTGGGCGTGCAGATCGTGAGTGCCACTTCTGAATCACCACGCGCTGCTCTGATTTTCAATAGTCGTTCTGAGCAGACCGCGCCAAAAGGATGTGTTGCTCGACGCCCCCGTCACGTATAAGCGGCGCCGCCCGCCACATGAGGCGGGTGCAACGTGGCACGTGCAGCCCCGCGCCCGGACGCGCGGTGTTCCAATCGTCGCGCTCGCTCGCTCTCTAGTCTCTTATGTGTAAGGCTATTACTTTTACTGCTATCATGATGCGTATGTTTATATAAAAATATCCCAGTGCGACCCTACCTAGGAATTGGAACCCCTAGGAAAGCAGCATTAGTAGTAACAGTAACGCTAAGCTAAAGCTAAGCTAAAGCTAAACTAAAGCTAAGCTAAAGCTAAGCTAAAGCTAAGCCACAGCTAAGCTAAAGCTAAGCTAAATCTAAGCTAAAGCTAAGCTAAATCTAAGCTAAAGCTAAGCTAAAGCTGAGCAACAGCTAAGCTAAAGCTAAGCTACAGTTAAGCTAAATATAAGCTAAAGCTAAGCGAAAGTTAAGCTAAAGCTAAGCTAAAGTTAAGCTAAAGCTAAGCTACAGCTAAGCTCAAGCTAAGCTAAATCTAAGCTAAAGCTAAGCTAAAGCTAAGCTAAACGCTAAGCGAAAAGCTAAGCGAAACGCTAAGCTAAAGCTAAGCTACAGCTAAGCTAAAGCTAAGCTAAAGCTAAAGCTAAAGCTAAAGCTAAAGCTAAAGTTCCCAGGGGACTGGGGGGAACCGCGGGGCGGGGACTGGGGGAACCGCCCGGGGCGCTTTGCACTGCCCGGCCCCTTTAAGCTAAGAGAGTAAGAACCCTCTAGGCAGAGCCTAGGTAGGGAAATATGTTCATGTCTCTCTCTCTCTATGTCCCACTCTCTGTCTCTCTCTCTCTCTCTTTCTCTCTTTCTCTTTCTCTTTCTCTCTTGCAATGCATATATTTACACAAGAACCACGCGCGCACTTCGCGCGCGCGCTTACTTTCTAGCGCAGACTGACCGATTGCGAATGCGGCTCGGACAGGAAAGGAGCAAGCGGATCGGCTGAATCATCATAGTTATCAGCTGCAAGGGTCCCCTAGCCTTCCTTGCCCCCTCTCCGCCTCCTCTTCCTCCTCCTCCTCGCCCCCCTGATCCTGGTCCTGCCCCTGCTTTCCTACTATCACTTCCCTTCTCCTCGGCCTCCTCCTCGCCCCCTTCCGCTCTTGATGTTCACGTCCTACCAGTCCTGTTTCTCCTCCTCCTCCTCCCCCTCCTCCTCCTCCTCCTCCTTCTCCTCCTCCACTTCCTCTTTCTGAAGGTCCCCCTCGTCATCCTTCCGTCTATCCTGTCTGCTCCTGGCCTCCTGCCACCCCCCGTTTTCCTCATCCTCGTCCTCGTTTCCGCGTTCTCCTCCTGCCGTGTCTCCTCCTCCTCCTCCTCCTCCTCCTCCTCCTCCTCCGACCCCCCCCTCCACCTCCTCAGCCCCCTCCTCCTCCTCCTCCTCCTCCTCCTCCTCCTCCTCGGCCGGCTCTGGGTGGCGCCCCCGAGCAGATGCCCCCGATTGGACCTTGTCGCCACCCCCGTCTTCCCACGCGCGCGACGTTCTGATTGTTTCAATCCGCGGCCCCCAGAAATCCCGACCCTTGCCCCAGGGCCTGTTTGTCAGCCCGAATACTTTGTGACGGTCCCAGGGCCCGGCGAGGGCACCCAGAGGCTACAACACTAGACTATCCCGGCAAAGCAACCTAACAGCGATGTGTAGGAGCATATCCGGAAGCATTCCCCTTAAGATTCAGATGAGAATCCAGTTGTAGAATGCTGCTGTTCTCGCAGTCGTAGTCGCATTCGCGATGACAGTCGCAGTGGCAACGGCAGTCGCAGTCGCAGTCACAGCCTCAGCCTGCCTCAGCCTCAGCCTCAGCCTGCCTCAGCCTAGCCTCATGAGCCTCAGCCTCAGCCTGCTTCAAGCCTCAGCAATCAGTCTGCCTGCAGCCTCGGCCTCAGCCTCA